TTAAATCTAAACAAACCCTAACCCTTTTTAACAGAGGTGGAACTTGTCATGGAAATTGTAAAAAAAGAAGAGTTTGGAATCTAAGTCCATGGAAACGTGAAAAAATAAAAATTTCTAAAATATCTAAATAGCAAAAGGCACCAATTCAGCATGTACAAGACAAACCTGCAAAGTTTCAAAAAAAAAATTGAACGGTTTATGAGGCATGCTCCGGAAACGAACCCTACCCTCCTAACCTAGTCCATCTTGTTGCCATGGAAACGTAAAAAAAAAAAAAATCTAAAATTTCTCAATAGCAAAAGGCACCAATTCAGCATGTACAAGACAAACCTGCAAAGTTTCAAAAAAAAAATTGAACGGTTTATGAGGCATGCTCCGGAAACGAACCCTACCCTCCTAACCTAGTCCATCTTGTTGCCATGGAAACGTAAAAAAAAAAAAAATCTAAAATTTCTCAATAGCAAAAGGCACCAGTTCAGCATGTACCTGACAAACCTGCAAAGTTTCATGAAAAAATATTGAACGGTTTATAAGGCATGCCAAGTGGTAATCTGCCATTCCATAAACGATTAACTGGAGTTATATTAAAGAATCGGGAGTTCTTTAACTTCTTTTGAGTAGTATGTATACTTGTTTAGCCGTTTCTGTACCCATGGGGATTCCGACACAGTAAAGCCTGATGAGCAAAGTTGCGTTGGTCCAAAGTTGTAAGCTAACTCATATGAGCCTCTTGGAGACCTGCTCGCTGTCCGCTTACATTGAGGGCATCGTTATTTCCCCACATTGCGTCAGTGTTTATACGTTAAACACAAGTTAATCATCATTTATGCGTGAGATCTTTCGGTGTTTACATAAACAAAAGAGAAGAAACTATACCTCAATAGATGCGACTCTGGCATAATTCTCCTATAGTACTGTTGATGTATGATATGTTGCTGAAATCGCATGTGACCTTGCGGCAACCTTTTATGTCCCTATGCATTGCGAGGGCTGTGAAAAGAGAGATTCATGAACGATTGCATGACAGTGTACGGATCTTCTGTGAACTTGTCATTGAAATAAATATTCTCTCACACTCTTCAAAAGGTCATTTTCAGGATCAGCCCAGTCGTTTCAATACCGACACAGTAAGACTGATTAAAGTTGCATTGGCCCATCTTTGAAAGCTAACTCATGTTAATCATCATATTTTCATTAGCTCTTTTGATGTTTTACGTAAACCGAGGAGCAAAAGAAATTATACCTCTTTCAGAACTGACCAAGACATAACTATCCCGTGGTGTTGTGGATGTATGATATGTTGCTCAAGTCGCACGTGACCTCACCACCACCTTTTATGTCCCTCTGTATTGCGAGGGCAGTTAAAGAAAAACTCAACAACGACTGCACGACAGTGTATTGATCTTCTGTGAACCTGTCACAGCGGTCATTTTCAGAATCATACCAGTCGTTTCAATAGAATGCTGCAAACTACTTTTGCTTCTACTCACTTTTCGCGATTTTCAACTCGCCTCAACCCTCCGCAGACAGATCAACGTTGAAGAATAATAACGACCACAGAACATGCTACTTAGTTGTAGTATTGATAAGACGTAGTACCTGACGTTTTAACTTACGGCTTTGATCATGTTAACGGTCACTGGTTTACTTGATCAAGATGTATCAAAGTGCAAGTGGGTAAGAACAATGTGATTCATTGAGTTTATGCATGGTCTGGAAACAGGTGCGCGAACTGAATTGTTATACTACCGCTTCTGTGTTCCACGCATTTTGTCTGCCGGGAATCTTGCAGATGAAATGGATGATCGCAAAATTTTACGTACGCTTCTGTAATTCATCGGAGGCGCTGACATTCCGAATTGAAGCTCTAGATTATTTTTTTATCATGTCAGTGTGTTATATTTTGCATGAATTGATTCATAATGAATACCCAATAACCACTGTGATCACATCACTTAACTGTTTCTAATCAGCAGGTGTTATCAACATGAGGTGTTGACTGAAATTTTGAGAAATGTCAACTTGGACAAAACGGGATGATATACTCTCTTTGATAAATTCGAAATATAAGAAAGGCACACTCTGCTTGGGAATATCTTTGTTGAGTGAGTGAATATTGTTTTGCGCATCAGTCAGCAACATATACAGGTTATCATCATATATTTATCAGTACTCACTACGGAAAACTTAAGAAAACAGTTAATTAAATATCGACTTGGTTTGCTAGACCTATTTGTAAATGAAGGAAGGAAACTGTCCATTGAAAAAATGAAGAGAATTTGTCCATTTTGTAAGCTAGAGATAGAAAATGAAATTCATTTTGTGTTTGTCTGTCCATTTTACAATGATCTCCGAAAGAAATATATAAAAGATTATTTAATATCAATGTCACCGATAAACGCCTTTGTAGTTATGCTGACGACAAAGAATGAATCAAATATATTAAATCTTTCTCTTTATATTAAGCATGCATTAGCCAAAAGAAATGAATTAATCAAACAACGTGTATATCCCAATGTGTAACAAATATAATTGTATCTACATGCGTAACTCTTTCTGGTATATGGGCCGGTAGCCTTTTGTACAATAAACTTCTTTGACTTTGACATCGTCTGTTTTCTGTGTTAGCGACCTCGGTCATATATGAGTTCGGATGATAAGGGGCATGATATTTTTATCACATAAAACTGACCTGTCATAAAAATCTTGCCATATAGAAATCAATATTTTTACCGTCGACTTCCAAAAGTCCCACTACTCGCCGTCATCAGCATACGTTCAAACACCTTTAATTTTCATTCGATTTCCATTATTCTTGAGGTCAATAAAGCAAGTGATGAAACGGTGTACCAAAAACAACATGACTTCATGGAATAAATGATGACTATTTTTATTGTGACGTCTTAAACGTTCCATGACGTTCCTGATGTGGGTTATGAATCTTGCAGCCTCGTGTGGTCTGATACGGACAGTGACGTTTTGCTATTATCGGAATGGCAAAGAAAGTTCATATCAAGACCGATACATATTGTAAAAAGTGATAGCTATATCTGGCAACAACTCCAGCCAAAGACTAATTAGTCAGAAAGATAGCATTTAGAAATCGGTTACAAACTGCCACTCATGGGAAAAGGGACCGGTTCCAAGAGGCAATTGATGTAAGAGTACATGCCCCGACGGTGCACAATCGCCTGCACAGAAGGCATTTGCATGCACAACGTCCATGTGTCATCTCAAACTTAATGCACGTTATTTGAATCATTGTCGTCAGCGGTGTAGGGAACATCAGCACGAGAATAATCGACGTTGGGCTAATGTCATGTTTTCTGACGTATCGAGATTCACTCTCGTCTTCCATGACCAAAGGAATATGTTGTTCAAATGAGCGTTTCATGGACGTTAACGTCGTACATCGTGATCGTTTGGGGGTAGGTTCATAATGGTATGGGGTGGTATCACAATGACTGGCCGAACAGTGCTCCAGATTGTCAATGGCAGAGTCACGGGTTAATTCTATCGGGACAATATCATTGCAGCACTCGTGGTGCCATTTGCACAATGTGTGGGCAACGTTTCATATTTCAAGATGATAATGCACGTGTCCATCATAACAGGCTTGTTCCCCAATGCCTCCAACAGCAAAACTTCCATGTGATGCCATGGCCTGCACTCAGTCCTGACCTTTCCCCATTGAACACATCTGGTACGTCATTGTCAGACGTGTACGTAAACATACAATCCACCCACCACTCACATTGAAACTCGGTGTTGCTCTCACTGATGAGTGGAAGAAGACGAACTGAAGAATTCGTGCATGTCCTGCCAACAAAGGTCGTTTTACTGATACTAGTAACGTTGGATGCAAAATGCAAACGATCTGGTGCACCACCATCAGGTCAAACAAGATATGATCATATCATTTCCATTTACGAATACTATATAGTTCAGAAGATAATGTCTGCATGATTCCCAATATCCCAGACTTTTTTGGCTCGGTTCAACTTTAAAAATCCAAGTTGTAATATTTACATAACCTTGAACCGATAGGCATGAGTAGAGTGTTTGGGGATCAGCCAATAGTCACATGCCTCAGCATCATGTCCTCATGCAGTGCTTCATAATGTTCCATGCTTGTAGGCAATTAAACAAATTGTAAGTGGTTCCATGATATTGGATTGGCTAAGCATGCAATCCCCTTTGTCATTTATGTGTTTGTTAATCTAAAACTATTACCCCACGCCCGCTAACCGTCTATTGATAAAAGCGTGGCTGGTTTTTGTTCCATTATTGAGCAGCATTGTGTTTAAAAAACATATATTGATGATTAAAGAGCAGTCTTTGAAGTAATACGTGTTGACGTATTTATCTATAACAATTGACTTAAGCATTATTCTGCGATTATACCGCAGTATTACATGCATGTTCGGAATCGAACCTATTTTGTTTTAATCACCAAGTTGTCCCATCGATAATCATGCCTTACGATCGAAAGGTGCCAGTTCCCACTTCCATAATCCAATGTTAAAGCAACTGATAATCCATATCGACTATGGCATATTCTCATTCGTTGCCTTAAACAATGATTTAGTTACACAATCTCAAATACAATTAGAGCGGTCCCATGTTCTCCGTGCCTTATCTACGTAACCATCGTGAATTGAGGGCCAATGTTGACACTGCAATCATCGACAAGCAATCCATATTGGAACAGTTTATTATCCTCCATTAACACCATATGGGATTGTTCAGTATTGATTGGCTCTCAGACTGAGGACGGATGGTTTGAGGACATGGTGTACCTGTGTAGGTGAGCTTAGATTCATTGTTTAGATTAACCCAGGATTAACTAAATAGATGCGCGTTGTTTTCCAGATAGTTTCGGTACCATCTGTATTATTTGGACTCGCTAATGTTGAGGTTGAAGACTCATGGATATCATAATCCAGATATCATGATTATAAATGTGGTAACCAACAAACACTTTGAATTCACGTGTTCATTCATATCAGTGTGATGTATACATTGTCCATTCATCGTGTTCAAAATATCCATTGATTGGATGGGATGTTGACTTGGAGTGTTCGTGGGAGCAGAAGTGAATGAGTCACATGGAGAATGACACGCCTCACATGATGAAATAGCTTTCAGGATGTCAGCGTATATGGCAAAACGATGGAATGACAATTGCAAAACAGACATCAATGTTTTGCAGAGCTAGGACTATCCCTTTTGAGGCTACCCACAAACTTGCGCGAAAAACAATCTGTGGAAAATGAATTCTTCCGGGGACGAAAACACAATGACTATAATGATAATATTGTCGGTCTTAGTTATGGTGATATCTATTATATCTCTTGCTGGGAACATCTTGGTGTTAACTGCCATCATCAAAAGTCGAAGACTTCATACCACGTCCAATGTGTATATATGTGCCCTGGCTGTGACGGACATCTTCATCTGTGTGATACACGCACTAAAGTATACCCTGAGAGCGGTCGAGGTCAACTTGTCTTACATCCCATGCTGTATAGTCGTGGCCATGTCTACCTTTGGGTGTGCTACCAACCTTATGCTGATTGAGGTCATCAGTTTAGACAGATTTTATGCCATATATTGGCCATTCAAGTACAGAAAGATATGCACCATGTCCAGAGCTCTAAAACTAAGCGTTTTCATCGTGATTACTACTTTCGCCAGTGGATCTGTTCTTTTCATTGTGTTTCATCCACGGTTTCCGAACACGATTTGTTGGTCTGAAGAGATCCTTGTAGCTCCTGTAGTGACTGTGTTTACTGTAGTGACGTCTTGTGTAGCCCTGGAGCTAACAGTTATGTATGGGGCAATGTTCTACAAGGCCCTTGAGCACCAGAGGAACCTGTCCATTGGCTACTTCAGCAAGAATAAGGGTAAGTTGGAATATTAGTAAAATCGCAATACGAAAATATTTCAAAATATCTCAAGGCGATGACAAATTTTGAGGTAACTTATGGATGTGAATTCACAGTTCCTCTGGATATCTGTAAATTCAGATGTTATGGTACATGTATCTGTTTCTATAACAACACTCTCAGAAACAACCCTGGTTGAACAGAGCTAGATCATAAACAATTTTATGGTCGACTCAAGTCGTCCTTTGCGTTATTTGGGCATTTTCAGTGGTCCATTTATATAATGTCCACAGCTATTTTGCCCTTTGCACCAAATGGAATCTGTTTCGATGGAAAATCTACACTGGTTGTTCTCTTCCATTGACATTTTATATTTGTTTGATTGATTTTGGTTGTTATAGTGTAGAAATGTTTTTTAGAAGCTAAGTGTTAAGGAGAAAGCTTTCTATTTCTGTTGGTACAGGTAAGGCACCTCTTGATCAACAGAGATAAGGCGGAGTGTGGTTTCGCAAACACAAGGTATCATCATTCATATAATTTTCAGTGCTATGTTTGCCTTCAGTGGAGTCCGTTTCGGCAGATAATCTAGAGGTTCATTCTCCTTGTGTACTTTAAATTTGGACAAATGTCTCATGTAATCGGATTTTAGTAGGAAATACGTAATCGGACACCTCATTTCGATTTTCAGATTCGAGCATATTTGACATCAAAGCCCTTAAGACGTGTAGTGTTGTTCTGGGAGCCTTCCTTGCCATGTGGATACCGCCTTTAGCCATGTTTAATGTAACCGCCCATTCACCCAACCCGAGTGACTATGCCCTGCCGCTGGCTGTATGTATGATATTCCCGGCCCTTAACACTGCCGTGGACCCCGTGGTATACGCTATCATGAGGAAGGACATCAAGAAAGGCATTCATAGGCTGTTCAGGAGATCAGGCAGACCGGCAACCATCACTGAACGGTGTGAGTAAAGCATTCTAGAAAGGCATTCATAGGCTGTTCAGGAGATCAGACAGGCAGACAGCCACCACTGAACAGTGTGAGTGAAGCATTCAAGAAAGGCATTCATAGGCTGTTCAGGAGATCAGACAGGCAGGCAGCCACCACTGAACAGTGAATGAACCATTCAAGAAAGGCATTCATAGGCTGTTCAGGAGATCAGACATTCAGGCAGTGAAACCATTAAACCGTGAGAGGTAAGCATTCACGAAATGCCATGGAGACGCGCTTTTTCTTCAGACAGTTAAATTTTAGTTGATCGTGCGTTCATTGGGGGTCTGGACACCTAATGTGACCCATGACGGTGGATAGTGAAATGCTGTTTGCTTGATAAACAAAATATCATGTCATGTTTCATAAAAAATGTACTTCATGCACAGGTACGAATGCCATCTTTCCTATGTGTAGTGTTTTCTACATTTTCTAAATGGAACATGCTGTTAAATATTATGTCAGTACACAGTCGCAGAAATGTTAAAATCACCAAATCCTTGCTGGCAGAGGTACACAGAACGATGCCCGTGAAGATCCGGATTAGAATTGTCTTCAGCAATCCATGGTTGTCGACTAACGGGGTCAGGCTCAGTGACTTTGTTTGATGCGTGTCATCGTATCCCATCTGCGTAGAACATTGCTCATGACGAAACATCTTCTTTCCTTTTATCAGGCAAATATGCAGCTCCCTTATCAAATACACAGATTTACAACCCACGCAAGCTTCTGGCTGATGTCACATGACAAGTGTGTTCATGCTGTGAGATTAGATTTATTGGAAGGCTTGAGAGCGAGCATTGCTCTGGTTATATGGTATACCTCTGACGCAGGACATGAGGGGCTCTGATGGCGTTAAACATTTAAAGAACTCGTGGTGTATACAGATATAGCGTTATCCATGTCATAGGCTCTCCGGCTAATGGAAATTGATTGTATGAACTGTGTATTATAGCAATTAAGTACATCCGCGTAACGTAAATGTATTTCCAACACATTCTACACAATGTGTGTTTTGATCAATGCATTTACATTACAGGACGTTTACTTAATTATCCGATATGACGCCTGTGAGGGATTTACAAGTTTAGTGCAAATATTTGACATTTTCTTTGACACATTTAACCCATTGCCACCTGACATTCAAACAAGATGATTACTATTCAGGAAATCAGAATTTGTTCAACAATTTTGGAATATGAAAATGAACCCTACTATTGTTATTTTCTATCCCAAAATTGTACGTACAACAACCAGTACCCAGTCAAATAAGACAAAGTAACTGATGTGGCAAAGTTGTGCACCATATATGCAGCTAAACATAACTAAAGTCGTCTTTCTTTGATCAAATGCCAGGCATGGTTCCATCTCTGATCCATGGTCTTTCTATGATGATTTCAAAAAGTGTTATGGTAGGGATGAGGAGGACACTTCCGAGGATTTCCTTATTTGACTTCGACCATATCACCCAGTGTTTTGTTTTAGGTGAACTTGCCTTTGTAAGTGTTTGTGATGGATGCCACAGGTGGGGAAGGATACGCTCCCCTTTTCGAGAAAAACGGCTGCACCTCTCAAACCGACAGCGGAAACTGTAGACCTCATCAAGGTCTGAAAAGAAAATTTCATTTATTTTATTCAACTCCTACTTTGATGCTCTGATCTGTGTTATGTCCCTTGGCCGTGTGTAGTGTCACTGTATGCATTGCCAAGTCAGTTAACTCTGACAAATATGCTCGACCTACATGTAAGTTGGAATTGAATAAATATTATTGACAAGAGGATAAGTGTGATTCGCTTACTGGATCCTTTTCTTATTGGTATATCCATTCATGGACGTTGAAGTGTTTTACATATCTTCATGACATAACTATAAAATATGTTCGCATTTGCACATGATTTATGTCATTGTTGTTACATTAACAAGTTACCTTCAGGCGAAACTAATTGATTAAAACATCTGAAACTTAGCATTTTTTAATCATCTCTTGAAACATTGGGAAATAAAGAGTAGCTACTAAGTAGAAATTCACACAAGAGTTTAACTAATTTTCTTTCATATTTTAACAGTAAGATAAGTGAACTTAATTTATAAGTTTGGAAAATGAAGAAAAATACATGTATGATAATGATACACAAACAGTGAAAAATTACACAAATTGATTTGTAAGATTGAGCTGTTTTCAAGAATATCTGAATAAATGAGCACCATGGCTTATCCCATTGTCAGTAGAAAATGTTGAGCAAAACATGTTCATATGTGAATAGTGGCTATCTTGTGATGATGCAACATACAGCCTCCGGCAATTGCACAAGAATGCATCCAGCATGTATCAATCAGCTTCAGGCACAGAAATCATATTTCCGCTGCTGATGGTTACTTAATTTATTGACACATACAGGTCGTCATTACGGTACCGAAATAAGGGGTTGGGAGACAATGCCTATAAACAGGACTTCTGGGGTAAACCCACATTTGATTACCTTTTGAAGCTATTCTGTATTCAGATGACAAATCCATGAAGTTTGCATTGATATTATTTATTCTACCATGACTTTGATTTTGCTATGAAAACCCCTTTCTAAATATATTAAGCCTTTTCACACACAAAAACGTGTGTATGAATACATCGATAGCCTACATATGCCCATCCATCACCCCCATATGAACTGTAAAACGTATCTGTATTTCCTCTACTACACGCTGGGTCTCAAATAGAACCTACGTCTCTTCCACACGCCGAGTGAAGGACTCTCGCGAAATTGATAGACGGACTAGTGTCTAATAGAGGAAATACGGTAGTTTGATATCGGATATTTTTGGCGTTCTAGGCCACAGCCCTGACTGCAACGTTGATGACATTACAAGATTTAACAAAGGCATATCTTTTCAATAAAAATGAAATGTTTATGAAACTGTTAGGGACATTCCATGGCGATAAGAATCAGAACATGCTATTTCCTCATTGACAGAACTGACAATGACAGTAAAATAAAACATTATAAAACATGTTTGAAGAAACTGTATTCATGACAACATGTTGTTTGCAAACCTTTTTGTGATCGATATTCATTGACATCTCTGTCTACCACCACCGTGAGGATTTGGCCGGAGTGGATTTAAAAGTCCATCAGAAAACACTCCTTCAGGCTGCAGCTCCCTTCAAAAGGGGAAAACAATGTCCTGACATCACTGACGTCAAAGAACACTTGATCATAGCAACTTATCAAACTTGATGAGATTCATTTCAGAACACACTCAAATATGAAAATCATACACGAACCGCTGTTTCTGGGACACAACTGTCACAATTAACACGCTTGCGATGAATCCGTGAAAACTTCAAATTGACAGGTCAAATCATGCAGATTCCCTGTGTCAAAATAGCCGGCTTGTCCGCAGCCGTAAAAGCTTCTTGTTTGCAGCCTAAGAAGCGGCTGTTCAGTCATAATGCAGTTCCATTGGTAATCACATTGTACCAACAGGCTCATTCCCAGTGAATCTACAGGTTAATGTTGAACACATCATAGATCGGGATTTATCATCATGTCTGCTGAGGCATGGAAAATGTAAACATTGACAGCCATATTGAAAGTTTTGAAGTGTGAGTAACTGCGATGTAGGTCAAGTTCTGAACCATCCATGTTCGGGGTGGAGAGGCGTTTATTTTTTAAGTAAATAGTAGAATGTTAATTCATAAAGTTAGTTGTAGAAATATATTTGTTTAGCATTTAAAAACTATGTCTACAACCTGTCACGCCTACAATGTAAATGGCATGTTCGATTTCCAAGAAATGACATGGGTCAGTCCAAACGGTGCACAACAGGTTGGTTAAATAATAAACATCTGTCTTCGGGCTAAGTTCGGAGGATTATTTGTCAAATTCGTTTTGAAAAAGTATGTGTTTTGAACACTTATTTTTAACTTCTCAACACTATGGTGTTTTTCATCTTGAACTTTAGTAATATTTGTTACATATATAACTACCTGTGACCACTTTTTGGAATGTTCTACGACCCGGACCTTTGTACCCTGTGTTGGTACGCGTTGCAAGAGAGCACTGTTTTCAAAGCGTAGTTGCCGTCATAGTAAAACGCTCGGTTCCAAATTAAAATAAGAGGTATCTGCTCTACAGAGGGACTTCTTCAAATTTCAAAACACAACAGGTTTATCTGATCTTCTAAATGATTAATCAATGGGATAAGGGAAACATATTGGAAAAGTCAAACTTCTTTGCTTGATGAAAACAAGATGAGTGTGAGCAAGTCCTTTATAAAATGAAAGTATATTCTCATGTAATACTGCTTTGTTATGATAGTGTTCATTACCAATAAGCACAGAATCTGAATAATTGTTTTGAAATGACAAGTATCGATTCACAAAGCGAAACAGGAAATGTTAATGTTAATAATACGTATGGCCATCTCTAGGTCTGGCACTCTACCCAATGCATTTCGGCGCCCTAAACGCCCCTGTAACGACTAACGAGTGACGAGTGAGGCGTTAATGAAAATACATGATCGGACTAATATGGAAACAAATGTCACTTCACCAACGTTTACAATTTATTAACAACAGCATGGGATTTGCTGAACAGACTTTTCCAAGTTATTTCCTAGTGTTTGCGACCCTAACGACTTTCAATGATGCATGTGCACATGATTGTGATACTTCAGACTTGCTTAGAATACCTTTCATTACTATATGAGGAATCTTATATAGAGATATGTTTGTACGTGCGTGTGCGGGTATGCCAGGTTGTACTAACTCATTGCATAGTGCTAGCTCACTGAGAAATCATGTCGCTATGCAATAAGGACAGCCCATTCAGCCGACCAGTCCTTGTTTGGTCCCCTTAATGCCAGGCAGAGTGACGACAAGCACTATCCCAAGCGTCTTTTGGTATGACTCGGGATCGATGCCCCGACCTTTCGTTCTCCGGACAGACTCTCTATCCACAAGACCAGGAAGGAAAAGCAATGGAAACAGGCGCTCTGAGTAAGCATTGCAGGCCTAGGGCGCCTCATTATTTAGACCACCGGGCACAAAAGGATGGTTTTATGCAGCTATACATACCGGTGATTGATGAGGACGAGTGTGTTGATCATTACACAACATACATTGTGTGATTGCATAATTAGGCAGCGCCGCGACTAAATAACTCCTAACGACAACAATAAGCGAAACAAAATTTCCGATACCCAGCATTAATCTGCCCTGTGCCTTTGATATGAACGTTTTTGACATTGGGGTGCTTGATAACAAGCCTTCAGGTGGTCGACGTTGTGAAAGAAACTTCACAGCCGAATGGGTATGAAGGC